CCGGGACATACGTCAGGATGTGGAGCTGCACTGCTATGAGCACAGCTGCTTCGACTGGCTTTTAGTATAGTAGAATACAAAGGATAGAATCGAGTATAGTATTACATACGGTACAGTGCCACTGCTGGTTGGTTCTTTTTTCCAGGAGTCGAGAGTTGAGGCTTCGTAGGGCTCTCGGATTTCTTGTAAGGGTCGAGAGACATGTACTTGGGCTTGCCGCTTGCAGCCACCAACTCTGCCTTCGGAATCATGTCGTGAAATAGGGCCTAAACCCTTAACCCTTAATCCTTAAACCCAAAATAGGGTTCCCCTAGCATGACCAGACCCTCCCACCGAATGTCTGCAAGTCGCCTAGGCGGCTGAGGGTTTCAGATCTCTAGGTCTTTAGCTTTCGGGTTGAGCATGGTTGCCTCCATGTTGCCGGGCAGATCCAACAGCCCTACTCGGGAGTTGAAGAAGTAGTCATTTTAGTTTCCCTTACTGGTGCACCTAACTGCATCATCAGCTACACTCCCAAATTGAACAGCTCATATATTTTAGGGTTGTGTTAACCGTGCGTGCATTGTATGTCTATCTACATATCATATACATATAGCTATACAACCTCTGTACATCTCCGTCTACATAACTCAGTTTGTGGCGTATGTGTATACATATGTATATGCATATATATATATATATATATATATATCATTACTCCATGTGTAAATATATACATACATATAGTTATTATTTGTGTGAATACATACATACACATAGACATGTATGGACATTTCTAGAGGGCCCTGAGTTCGACCCTAAACCTTAAGCCCCCCAAACCCCCGAACCCTGAACCCCGAAGCCTTCAAAACAAAAAAAGAAACCCTAACCCCATGAACCCTGCACCGTGGCAGCAGCAATCTCAACTTTGCCAAAAACTCGACGTCTGTAAGCCTGTCGATAGACCCGAAGCCACGGTTCGTTTAGGTTTTAGGGGTTTAGAGGCTTGGACGTTTGGGGTCTACGGGTATACAGGCTTATGGTTTAGGGTTTCAGGGCTTTAGGGTTTAGGGGCTGGGGGCCGAAGGTTGATGGCTTCCGTTTCAATTACCCAGACCCGCAAAAGATCTAGAAAGTAGATCCCCTAATTTGGGGCCCTATACTACTAAGGGTACTTTATAGGAACCCGCATTAAGGGATCTACTTTTTGGATCCTGCAAAGGGGGTCTGGGTAGTGGTGTTCATGACTTCTTGAAAATCCTGGCTGGATTAAGCAATTTTTTCGTTTTCCTGGAGCCGAGAAGTCGAGAACTGGTTTCTGAGACCCTGAATGCTGCTTTATTTGCCAAAAGCCCATTTGGGGTTGAGGGTTTAAGGGTTCAGGGTTTTGTAACTCAAGCAATACCCAAAGTCGCAAAAACCCTCAAAACACCACGAGTCAGGTTGCGGTACTGTCTATCTCCAGGGCCATGCGGAGGAGCGTGCGAACGGCGATGCGTCAGGGAAGGGTCGGCAGTTTGCAACCCCAACGTTTTGGCTGGCACCGCAGCTTGGCGATGTTCTTGTAGTGGTTTGCGGCCGCAGCACTAGCCATGAAAACCCGGTACTCGCTATGAATGTAAGTTACTATTAAAAACCTAAAGTCTTTAAGGTTAAACTAGTGGCGGAGCCTTTATATATATATATATATATATATATATATATATATATAATATACATGTATATTGAGCCCTCGAGTCAATCAGCGGGATTTTGTATGTGTCGGTCTATAGGGGTTTTATACGTTCGATAGATTTAAAGGTTTTTCCGGGTGCTTTTAGATTCTAAAAGGGCAATGGCCAGACTTCCAAGAGTGCGTTTGCGCTTGATTTGAGGTTTGGTTTCACGGTTCAAGCTTTGTTCGCTGACTTGAAAAGCAAAATACTGTTGTCCGACCTGCCCGAATAATTCCTGTCACGCCTAGATACGTACGCTACTTGCCAGTCTTTCGCCCCTGGGCTCAAAAACTTGCCATAGCATCAGCCCCAACCCCCTAATTGAAATCATCCCTTACAGTGAACCTTCTGCAGATTCCACGGTTTAGGGTTTAGGGTTTAGGGATGTTTAGGGTTTAGGGGCAGTATAGGAAGCCTATTGTAACTACTAAAGCCCGAGCTACAATCTGGCCCGGCAGCGCCAAGGAAAGGATTGCGTTGCACCTGCGGCTGCCCGTGCTGTTGCAACTGTGTGAGGGAGCCTCTGCCCCCGAGCCGCTGAGCCGTTGAGCCCTTACCTTAGCCTACCAAACCCTACAGTTTTGTAGGATATTACGCCCTAACACGGAGTTTATACGGACGTTACAAGAAGTAGGTTTTGGTAGGTTAAGGTAAGCTTTAGGGAGAGCTGCAATACGACCTAGGCCCTCCCTACTCGTAGGGAGGAAAGCTTTGATAGGGCTCAAACTGTCAGTTCAGGTGGTTTGTGGATGATGCTTTCGGGTTGAGTGTCCCGGTAAAAAATCGAGGCACCTTCTGCTGTTTGGGAATTCTGTCTCTAAGCTGTAGCAGGTGCTGAAGTACGTGTATTCCGAACCACCCCCCCATGTGAAGGAAGCAGCACTTGTTGTTAGAGCTACCTACCGCTTGCTTTTGCCAGTATCCTTTGTTTGCAGCACGCCCGTTCACGAACTCCGAAGCTTCAAAACAGTCCCGGCATTGAGAATTCCATTTGGGCCTTTTTGGGTCCCTGTTATAGTACGGCACCTGTTTTTTAGGGTACCCATATTTGCGAAATGTTGCTCATGTCTTTGGCACTGTTGGCAACCCCAAAACGTTTTGCCGACGGGGCAAGACAAAGTTGCTGCTGGGTTGAGCCTTTGCTAGTTGACACCTGAGCAATGGTTGCGTCCTAAGCCCATTCCCTAGCTGGCGAAAAGCATTGATGTCTACGGTGTTTGCACATTCTAGGAATCCTAAACCTCAGGCCGTACTTTGCAACGGCAACAAGTTAATTACTTGCCATGATGCCAAAGAGTTGGAGTATGGGTTCGGTCTGTGTGTTGCGTTTCCATATCATTAAACACGGATGAACGGCCGCAAATTGCGCTGTAGCGATGGATAGGCAGATTTTGGACACCCACCTGCCGCAAAAAACAGTCCACTATGAGGGTGTTGCTTAAGCCTTGATTCCCACCAGTTTCAATAGTGTGCTGTTTTTTCGTTACATCCCACACATGACTGACCCTCCCACCTGTGGGTGTGTCACATGCTAATGGAGCCTTGAGGAAAGCGCGAATGATATGGGGCACAATCTTCGAAGACCCCAATGCCCAGACCAGATCACCAGATCTGCATCCAATTTCTCGCAGCATAACAGTCATGGTCCGAAGAGCCGCAAAACACCCGAAAACCAAAAAAACATTGTGCAATTCAGAGCTGGCCTGGAGAGTCAGGCAACCAAGTTTGGTTAGTTAGGCTCCAGGAGCTAGGTTTCATGTTTCTAGATTTCCCAACAGGCTGTGTTGACTTCCAGCTTTACCCTTACTTACGCAGTCAAACGAACCCCAGCATAAAGATTAGGACTCTGACAGTTGGCCTCTAAGACAGTACCTGTACCTACCGTAACCTAGGTCTTTTTCTCAGGATGAATATAAGTTATATATATATATATATATATATATATACGCGGGCTTGTAATAAGAACCTATAGAAATCTAGGGTTTGGTAGGTGAAGGTAAGATGAAAGTGTTCTTTCAGAGGTCCAAGTGGCCTTTGCTTGTCACGACCTTTTTTGAGTCCTCTCAGGATACTCGTACTCGCACGCATCACCTTTGGAACCTTGAATCAGGTCATGGGTCAGTAGCTGGAATGGGCCTGTCGGGATCGGGCCGTGGGATGTACTGTAGCTGGTTTAGGGTTTAGGGGCTCTTTGCTGTAACCGGGCTGCTGGACAACGAGGCCTGCTGCAAAAAGGTTTGAGGAGTTTAGGGTTTTAGGGATTGCGCTGTAGCTGGTACGAGTATCTTGGCATCTGGCAGGACGGCTCCTCAGTGCGAGCAATGTACAGCTTCCGTGTCGTGGTTTAGTGTCAAGGGTCGCAGTCGCGACCAGGCTGTCTGTAATACAGGGGCCTAAATCATTGCCCCAGTACTGTTTTCGAGATTCCTTGCTATGTAATGATAGGCATAATGAGCCGCAAAGCCCTATTCTAAATATCAAGGCCCCTATATTCGGAGCTTTCGAAGAAAGTCTCAGCACAGCATTGGAGACCACCCGTGGCGTTTGTTGAAAAAAGCGACATCGGGTTGAACTTCTCATGGCTGGCTTTAAACATGGCTTTCGAACACTCCCTAAACCCGAACCCTTGAAACTCTCTGCCCAAACACGACGGCCCGTTCTTGGGTGTGAACCTCGCGCACTCTGATTTTGCACGGTGGTTTGCAGATTTTCCTCGAGCTTCGCATCACAAGAGGGGTTCGAAAGTCAAGCGAACACTAGGACCAGAGTAGGCCCTTATTCCCTTTTTTAGGGTTTAGGTTCCCTTATGACACCCTTTAAACCAAAAAGTGCACCCTTTTTATTCCTAGGTTCCCCTTGGGTCTAGAACATCTGCGTGAGCACTTTTCGTCTTCATGCAGGCACTCAGGGAGGACCCCCCCTGAAGCAACGGCGCAAAGACCGACTAAGGAACCCTTATATAATTCCTAAACCCTAAACTTTGTAGCTGAGTGGATGCACTTTACACTTTTTGGGGATAAAATTACCCATCATTATAAAACCAAAAGTGTACCATTTGGGGCTTATGAACTCAGCTACTGAGTAAAGGACCATAAAACATCCGAAAGGGCCTTTATAACCCTGTAGGACCCTAGCCCCAACTCCCAAACCTAGAACCCGTACAGTAGAAGCCAGAAAGTTGGAACATCAGTAGCCTCACGCCCTTAAGGTAAAGTATAAGGAATCCCGGCATGAATCATCCTAAATCCATGTTCCATCCTTCTGGGGTTCACTATAGAGCTAAAACTCGGGGGAGTCCCTGGTCAGGCACGGGAGCTGTCGAACATCGTCTGGTCGGTTGCTACCGTACAGGCAGAATCTGGGTTGTCCTTTGGGATCTCTTTCATTTTGTAGAGAACCATAATAGTACATAATTTTCCAAGGGCTTGAAGGACATCTCAGAGAAGGGTTGAGGGTTTAGAGTCTAAGGCTTCAGGGGCAATTGGCAGACATTGAAACTCAGCATCCATGGTGCTTGCGGAATTTATTTTCTTTTTTCCGAAAATGGGGGGACCCTAATTTTGCACCTTAAACAGTAGGATCCTCATTATAAGGACCCCAAAGAACGAGGATCAGCCTTAGGCACATAGGCTCCTTTAGGGTTTAGGGTCTTGAAACTTCGTGAGCCTTGCGAAACCCCCGTAGGCACAAGCCGGGGCCATGGTTGTCAATTTAGCATTCCTTATTACAACTATAGTGATATACCCCAAACCCTTCTAATTATTAAGGCCCGTAATTACTACACTCTTGTATCTTGAGGGCGAGATTTTGAAGTCCAAGCTGCAAGCAGCGACGCGCCCTGTTGTGCTTTTTCGGAGAGGTCCCTGCTCCCGAGTGGCTGACCGCGCCACTTCCCTCCCGTGCTAAGGAGCGTCTTGGACAGCAATTTGGGGATTGTCACAGAGTTCTAGTTTTTGCTGCTTTGATTTGTGGTTTTGTAGGGTGTAGTACGGAAGAGGTCAGATTGAGGTGGTTGCAAGTGATGTTTGTTGGGATTTGATTTGTAATTTGGGTGTTGCATGGGTAGTCTGTATTATATAATACACATTATGGAATATATAGTATCGAAGTACATGATACTTATAGCTTTAACAGAGCGATGACACAAGACAATTTGACATTACTCAATGTAACATAACATCGTGACATATGATGTAGTGTAAAGTGACATAAAGTTTCACTACTATAGCTTACAAGCTAGTAGAATAATGTAACATGCCCCCTTTACATGCTTGCATACGTATATGTATACATAAACCTAAATACATACATGCATACGTACGTACGTACATGCACACATGCATATATTATATGGTAAAGCTTGCTCCTCCCTGAGATTTTTGCACAGGCCAAAGCATACAAGGCAAGAAGGGCGCCATGAAGAGTGACACCTCTCATGCTTTTGGACTTCAGCTTGCAATCGGCTTCGAGTTAGAGACCTCCGAGCTGTAAAGTTGCGGAGTTTCCGTTTACGGTTTAGGGCCAGTTTAGGATTTAGGTTTATGGGCTTGGGGTTCGAGCACACGTGAATCACAAGAATATGTATACATACATATTCTTCCCAGTTCTGAAATGGTAGGCCCATGAGCCGAACCCCTTACACAACTTAGCGCTGGGTTGTGCTTTGGGATAGTTTTTAATTGCCTTTGTTCAAGGCCCCCCCATACCATTCTCCCTCAGGGTGCATGCTGCCAAGATTCCTGCATGCTGTCTCGCATCTTTGTTTTCCGCTGGCACATGCTTCGAGATATGTTCCACACGCATTTGCTGTGGATGCGACCCTACACATGCTTCGAGCTGTTCCACACGCATTTGCTGTGGATGCGACCCCTAAGTAAAAGCCCATGATTCGGCATCACTTTCTGTCTTTGCGGCGAAAGGGAGTGGAGACCACATGAAGATATTCAGCCGGGGCACATGATGTATAGCAATCCTCCAGGCAGCATCCTGGTACACATGAGCAAACCTCAGTCAAGAACATATTGGGCCACCCCGACAAAGACACTTGCGAACCGAGAAAACACAAGCCAGGGAGCAAAGATCTTGTCCTCGCTCTGTCTCCAGAGACTCAGCATCCTCGATGCCAGTGACGGATGCACTTTGCACACCTTCCTCGGACGATGGTGTGTTATGATGTCATATACCCCTGGTGCTTCTACACTGCTTCAACTCAGACACCACAAACTCAGCTTGGCACCCTCTCGAGCGCTGAGCTCAACAAGGAACTCCCATACTGAAAGAAATAAATAAATCTTTCTCGTCGCATATGACCCGTCGGCTCGTCATAGTGAAAGGTGGATTTGAATATCCATGGGCATAGTGACGTCAGCCGGCTGACCAAGGAGGTCGGCAAACAGGAGGTGTCCATGATGCAAAGTTCTAAGCGACGTCTGTAGCTTTGATGTGTCATGCTGGGCCTACTAGCTCATGTCATGCCTGGAATGTGCCAGTGTTACGACCGATGAACTTCCAAATATGAGCCTGCCTCTGTACTCGAACATAACATCGAGACAGCACGCAACATTCTTAGCAGCACGGATGTTGAAGCAGCACGGCTTGGGACCCCCTTGATTTGTTGGAACCTATTCATAAATGGTTTTCGAAGGGTTTAAAGCACAACCCAGAGCCGTAAACTCGTTATGGGAGAAACATGCGTTTGACTCTCGGAATCAGGTTCCTGCCGCAAGAGTCTGCCAACGTGCTCTGGGCCTTGGCAGTCCCTTTGATCTGTCAGAAAGTGTTGAATAGTGTTGGATCGATACTGTTTGGCACTCTATGCATGTATGTGCGTGTCTCTCTCTCTCTCTCTATATATATATACATATGTATATATATATATATATGTATATGTATATATTTACATATTTATATTTGTGTTCATACTTATTTATTGTGTATACATACACGAAAAATCTACGCATGTATATGTATATGATGTATATGGGTCTCGATCTTGGCATGTGGTAGTCGTGGTTGCCAGGATTTAGCACTACCGGGCGAGTAGGCGGTGGAGGATTCGGTTCCGATGGCTTTTGGGCACCTGACGCTGCAAAACAGACCCTGGTCAAGAGAGGTGCCGTAGTAATTAGGTCTTGCGGTATATCATAGTGCAACTTAACCTGTCCTCGGTCAGGGTTTAGAGTGTTCGCCATGCTCTGGTACTACATATGAAGCTGGATGTCTCCAGTCTTGGCGACTACGGTGTCGCATGTCAGCTGCCAAAACTTGTTCTAGCTTTTTGACTTCCACTGAGGCTGTCCCAGAGGTTGTCCCTGCACATATGGGGGTAGCACGTCCTTAACATAGGGGCCTTAATAATTTCCTATAATTACCATTTTGGCGGCTCTCTATTGTAATTATGGTATAATGGGCCCCAAGTTCCTTCTTCTAATTCTTAAGGCCCCTATATTCTAAAACCTTAAAGATCCCTTATCTTATTGGCTGTAAACTCAACTTTTCATCTTTTCGTGTTCTTTTTAGGTAGTCGATTCTGAAAGTTTCAACTTTCATTCCCTTGGGTTTTGGGCCATTGAGTTATTGTAGCTCTTATAGACCCCTTTTGCAGGAACCCTGTTTTAGTTATTAGTGCCCCTATATTATGCGGGTGGGAATCTTGCAAGCAATAACAAGCCAAGGTTTCCTCCTTGCCTGCGACCCTGGAAGACTTTGTGATCGCCCTCCAGGCATCAAGCCTTACCGTTGATGATATTCACCCGGCATTACCATAAGGAGCCTAAACTATGGAAATTCTGCCTTATTTTGGGTAATGCAGGATTTGCATCATCAACCGTATCAGTGCTGGGGATCAGGGTGAGTCCCTTCGAGTTTGCTGTCTTTCAGCACAGCTGTGAAGTTGGTAGAGGATACGTAAGAATAGGTGCCTCAATAATTCAGCTAGGGTTGTGGGTACTTGAGTAGTCTTTTGAGAGTCTGCTGCTGGTGTCAGTACTCCAGTTGCTGATATAAATCCTGCATGACCCATAATAAGGAATATACCATAATTCCCATGGTTTAGGGCTCTTAAGGTAATGCAGGATTTATATCATCAACCGTCCTACTCCTAGTCCACAATTTTTTCGATTTTCTCAGATTCGAGTCGGATCTTCGGCACATACTCTTTTCGGTGGTTCTCGGAAGCTTGGGCCGGGACATATGATGCGATACGAAACATTGCGACCTCACACGTCAGCCTAGGGTTGAAGGACACGCCCCAAGCTTTTAAAAAACAGGGGGAGAAGATTTGGGGTTTCAGAAAATAGGGAATCCTAATATAGCACCCTGAATAATAGGAAGCCGATTATGAGGAGCCCAAAACAAGGTACCCTTAATTTTCGGAAACTCCCATTTTTATGGTATTAACTAAAATGATTGCCTGCACAGATCAAGAGGATAATCACCGAGCCGTAACGGGAGCCCGGTAGGTACGACAGCCCCTGAATCAAGAAATGTATCCTCGTCCTACATGATATCCTTGAGCCTCTAGACTTTTACTGATACTCCTAAGCCTGAGCTCTACACGCCCCAAGCCCTACTCTGTAAAGAGGATAGTGTTAGGGGGCTAGGAACCTTGGCAGAACCGCGTACCTAAGACAGCTGCTAAAACTTGGACTGTTGCGTAATGCGACAGTTCTTAGATGAATGGAGCACTTCCGGAGATACTTCGCTGCGGTCATTGACTAACCATTGATTTTGGAGGAGCTAAGGAGCCAGGGGTGATGATAATCCCTACTTAAGAAGGAGCTAAAGAGCTAAGGGAACCCCAAAACCATCCATTGGTTAGTTGAATCGCAAGCTTGGCACTTGGTATGTGCTGGGGATCAGATGTCAGGTGCAGATCAAACGCCATGTGCAGATGTTTTTCAGCCGTTCCAATTCCCTGCAACGCGGCCTCGTCCTTTCCAGGTAGGAGGGTAGGGAACAAAGAGTAGTGTTGGGCTGCGAACCCTACTCTCTCTATACTACTTTGGTGGTCCCTAAGAGGCCTATATTGCTCTCTCTTCAAAAGCTCTTGGGCTCTGCGAACCTTGAAGCCCAAGGCTCGGAAGGCCAGCGAAGCCCCAAACAGGGTCCTAGTCCTGAGTCCGAAACCCTTTAAGAACCGTATATATACCCTAAACACCAAACCCCAAACCCTAAACAAACCCTTAAACCCTAAACCCCTAAACCCCATACCCTATAAGCCTCTTTTGTTGCACTTCTATACCCCAAACCCACAAAAAGCCTGAGCTCCGAAGGCCGGGGGACGATGCACACCTGAAGAGTTTGCGGCGTGGAAGCCGCAGGATGATTCGGAGGGTTCTACTTTAAAGGATCATGGGGCTTAGTAAGGGTTCTTCAAGGGTCCCTTAAAGGGATCTCTAGGGTTCCATAAAGGGATCTAGGATCTATAGGGTTGAGTTTAGGGTTTAGGGTCTACTTAACGGATCATGAGACTTAGTAGCTATGGGTATGATAAGGGTAACTATGCTACTTATAACCTTGCTTGCTAAGTCCCATAATCCTCCAAGTACGGGGCTTGGAACAAGAAGCCAGCAGCTGGTGCAGTAGTTGCAGTAATTAGTGGTAGTAGTGGTAATCGAAATAGAAATAGAAGTAGCAGTAGTAGCAGCAGTAGTAATAGTATCAGTAGTAGTTGTTGTTTTATGTAGCAGTAGTAGTAGTAGTAGTAGTAGTAGTAGTAGTAGTAGTAGGAGGAGGAGGAGGAGGAGGAGGAATAGCAGCAGCAGCGAAAGCCCTGGTAGTCGCGAAGGTTCCTGAGTATATTGAGTATATCAGACAAGGCCCCTTCGTTGCTTAGGTTTTGGGTAGACTGGTCCGTCTTTATGACGGAATGAAGCTTTGAAGATTCAAGCATTTCCTCTTCTTTCCTGTGTGCATTACCAGGACCAGGAGCACTCACTGGCCCCGCCATAGAATTAGAATGGGGCACAAAAAATCCATGGTTTCAGCGTCTGTGCTCCTGGTACACTCACTCAAGGGCCTGCCTTTTTGTCTACGCAAAGCGGATCGGGGTTGTTGTAAATGACAGAGCGTTGTAGTGTGCAATTGCCGTATAATTCGAGACTTTCGTCGCAGCAGATTTCGCTTGAGCGAAAATAGGCGACAAACCTCCCAAACAACACTCAGAGCGCCTTTCCATGAAGCCAGTGCCAGTCCTCTTCCACGTTTCTCTCAGGGCTTGTCAACTGTAATCTTCGCAAAGAACCCAGAGCTTGTTCGGAAGAAGGGTGAAGGAGGGCTTGGGGTGTAGGGAGGAGCAGTATATCGAGCGTCATGTCCACCATCAGGGTCGTGATAATCATGCTCATCGACATGACCATTGTAGTCATCGTCATCGTCACAGCACATAGAATGATATCTTGTTCGCAAGCACTTCCTTCTGCAGCGTTTGCATCAAGACAACGGAGGGCAGACGACCAGCAGCAAATCACAGTTTCAGCACTAGCATTCGGAATTAGGATGAGCACTAACATGTCATTTGTTTAAATATCCATGCACACATACATTTATGACCCCTTGCACTTCAGAACCAATATCTTTTCCGCCGCCGGTGCGACCGATGTGGTACGGCACGTTTCGAAACCTGGGCCGCTGGTGCAGCTCTTGCATATTTTGTCACGGAGGCATTTCCCGGGCTGGAAGCGCTGTACGGGAGTTAGCCGAACAGCTTCGGCCGACAGTGACACAAGAGGTTTCCAGTCCAGACGTTGTGCATGTCCGCGTTTTCTACACCTCGGGCGAAGTGGCATTGGACGAATTGTTGCATGTGGACCTGCCGGTTAGAGTGTTGCTGAGGCGAATTTCGCAGCAGAAGACAACACCGCGATCGCATCTATCTCTGGTGTATGAGAACAAGATACTTTCTTCCAACACACTACTTCGTGACCTGGAACTGATGGAAGGTGACTGCATCCATGTCGTACGATCTGCCGGCAATGCCTATCCAGCCTGGACAGCAGGCGGACGAGTTGACCATTTCTTGCAGTGCTTTCTGCTCCTGCTTTGTTGTAAGCATAATGTTTCTGTTGTGTAGTTCCTTGAGTGCACGCAGCCGTTGCGGAAGAATCCAGTTTGAACAGCCTCAACCTCAACGCTGCACTGATCAATGATCCCCACAGATAGAAATGACCTAATCGAAGCATCAGGTGAACGAAATTCGACGTATATCGATGTATATGCACACATTGTCGGATGTTTCATTACAGTACATTTGTTCATATTGAAGTGTATGATGTTACATCCAACTATAATGTACCGTTTTATGCTATGTTAGGCTTATATAAGATTCCGTATGTTTCGTTGTTTCACTTTAGTTTATCAATTATTAAGCCCCTTAAACCCTAAACCCCTAAACCCTAGTCAATGCGGGCTTCGTCTTTGCTAGGTAGGAGGGAAAAAACCTGGTCATTAAGCCGCCCTAAATCTTAATCACAAGCGAGGCTGGGGTCACCTGGAGCTGGAAAGAGTGTCCTCTTTCGATCCTTCTACCCGGACCACTTTCAGGTGGAAGAAGTGTGGGACGTGATGTTCGAAGTTGAGGATGTAAGAATTTAGAACTTGCCCTTAGGCGCCCCTAAGTGCACAACTACCTGGCAATCATATGCTCTTCAGAAGTTGCTAACCCACATTACTTGTGGTACTAGACCCAACCCAAATACGGCAATATTAAGTACATAACGATTGGAGCAGAGGTTTGTAGGGTCTGGTCTGATTATGGCAGGACTGTGACTCGGATAGTCTTAGTATATGTCGGAAGTTTATATAGCGCGCTATGAATGAATGCAGGTCGGGGTTTGAAGAAAGAACACTGCGAGATTTTGAGCTCCTTCTTGCCCACAGCAGTTTCAGGACACCTACTCGGAGTCATTGGGCATTGCTTGCCGAAAAGTCTTCACCAGAACGGATGAAGAGGAACCTGCAGTATGCTCCGGCAAGACTCTTTGGGCTGGGCGTTGTGCCACTCCGGGAGGGACTGCTGTCTCATCATGCACTGCTTCGCTGCTGCTGCTGCTGCTGCTACTGCTACTCCCGCTGCTGCTGCTGCTGCTACTACATTTACTGCTAGTACCAGTACTATACTAGTACTACCACGACGACCACCACCACCACCACCACCACCACCACCACCACCACCACGACGTCACTACGTCACTACGTCACTACGAGGACGTCGACGGCGACGACGACGACGAAGACTACTACTACTACTACTACTACTACTACTACTACTACCACTACTACTACTACTACTAACTACTACTACTACTACTACTACTACTACTACTACTACTAATACTACTACTACTACTACTACTACTACTACTACTATGACTGCCCCTCCTACTTTTACCACCGCCACCACCACCAGCACCACGACGATGACTACGACTGCTGCTGCTGCTACTGCTACTGATGCTGCTACTGCCAAACCTACTGCCTTCGGGTTTCTTTTCGCCTGTTGCCTTTGTTCTGCGCCCGCGGAGGAGACTGTACAGGTAAAATTCTGGAACGTTCATGGCGTGGCACCACGGATCCGGACGCAGCCCGGTCCATGGCTACGACACCGTACACGATCGGCCGCCGGATTTCTGGTGGTGTTCAATGTGCCTGTCGTTAGCTTCGGAAACGGTTTTGTCAAATTTGTGTGTAGCGTGTTGGAAGGGAAACTTTGAAAAGCACGTGTCAAGTGCATCTCACCTACTCGTTGAATTATGTCGCTTTCCGGCGGTCGACGGGGTACCCTTATATAGACAACGGTAAACCGTTAAGACTCAGAATTCAGCTTCTTCTTTGACGCGTTTGACGATCGTGTGATGTCAGAGGCTTCAGTGTTAATAAGCTCTCCTAACCAACTAGAGGGGGGATGTGGAAACTATGCATGGGTTTATCAGCCATATTCTTAGGGCACCAAGGTGATTTGTGGCGCCACGCTTCAACGCAGGGCTTTGAGATTCCACAGCCCGGTGGTAGCCCAAAGGCTACGAGTAGTGTCTATACAACCAAATAAAAACAAACTGGCCTGGGGTAAGTGCCTCCAAGGTGCAGAACCGAAGCACCTTCGAGGACCGTGACACGCTTAGGGTGCAGCTAACCTAGGATTCTGCACATTTTCAATTCGGGTCCTGTGAAGCATGGTTCTACAAGAAGAGGTCGGACTTTTGTAGGGATGTCTAAACCGATAGCCGCCAATCCTCCCTATAGGCTCTATCTTAGATACCAAAAGGTAGGAGCCATACATAGCCTTATCAAGGATACAGCGGGGTCTTGAAAACTTGATATTGCAACAAAAATAGTCTTATAACCCTAGACCCTAAACTGCAGACCTTGCCAGGCTTGTCCGAGAGTGAGTGTCAACAAAAACCGTGTTATTTTTGTGCAGAGGACCTGCCAGCGCTCTTCCATGAGTCTCAACACGTGGAGGGAGGCGACCCAGCCGCAACTTCGCATCTGTGTCTCGTTGGTGCCTCGGCCCTTCTAAAATGGAAACTCGTATGTGTGTAGGGATGTGTAGGGTTTAGGGTTTTGGGGATGCCTGAGTTTGGTGTCAGGGTTGGGAAATTGTCCAGGGCTTGTGCTTGCTTGCGTTTGCGTACATCTCCGCAATCTCGGCAAGGACCTCGACTGGTTTTCTTCGGGCTTCCGATGGTCGATGCTAGACAACCCCCATCATGCCTCAAGACCCCCAACCACGGCATCAGAAATCCCCGAATGAGAAACACAAAAAACGAAGGTCCTAAAAGCAATCTATCCCCCACAAGCACCCGAAAAAACGCCATACACCTTAAACCTGTAACATCCCTACTAAACCTGTGCACCCGAAAACCCTAAACCCTATTATAACCCTAAAGCCTACACCCGTCTAGGTAATCACTTCGGCTCGCGGGCGCGTGTGGTCTCCGAAGCCGAGGGCCAGCGTCTAGCTGAGGTCCTTGGCTGCCGTTACTACGAGGCCGGGGAAAAGGCTAATTTAATTGGCTGTAAACTCAACTTTTCAATTTTTGGGTTCTTATAAAGTTGTCGATTCTGATTTTTTCAACTTTGTTTCTTGGGTTTTGGGCCAGTGAGCTAAACTGTGTCGCAGGGTTTAGTTAGGGGTTCGGGGCTATGAGGCTGTTGGGAAAGACCCAAAACGGTTTAGGCGCTTGGGGTTTTCAGATTTAGGGAGAGAGAGAGAGAGAGAGAGAGAGAGGGTTTGGGGTTTAGGATTTAGTCCTTTAGGCTAGGGTTTAGGGGTTTAAACTAGGGTTTAGGATTTGAGGGTTTAGGGTTAAAGCAAAGAGCTTGCATGGTGTGGTGTGGGGCTTATAAGGTACACCGCTCTCTACAGGTTTCCTGGGCTTCGAATTCATATCAGGATTGAGGCCTCATCTTTTCCCAGGCTTGGAGGCTTTTGGTGTTTTAGCAATTCTGGCTTGATTGGTCACACGCTTCCGACCCTGAACCCTGCCAAGGTTTAGGGTTGAGGTGAAAACCCTAAACATGAATCTTAGCAGTGTTTAGGGTCGGAAGATGTCGGAAGCCTGAGCCCGCGGCTTGACCCGTGGGGGGAATTTACTCCGGGACGCTCTGGTGGTGCCCCTTTTCTTGATACAAGAGGTTCAGGTTCCCGAAATAGTCTTAGACATTGGGATCCTGAGCGTGGGCACCCTCGATAAGCCACTCCACTTCTACAAAACCTCCATCTATCTGCCCTGCAGGTGTCTGCCGAGACGGGAGAGGGGCTGAAGGAAGTTCTCGATGCATGGCTAGACATTCACTTCGACCACCAGGAGGTTCAGAAACTGAGTTGTGCTTTGGGATAACTTTTAATTTCCCTTATTTCCTTGTAAAGGGAACCTATTCATAAATAATTTTCAAAGGATTTAAAGCACAACCCAGGAAAGACCTGGAGAGACTCAGAGCATAAGGTGCTGGCAGCCATCCTGCATTGGCCGAGCGCTTGCAAACCAGTCCTCGCTGAGGCCGACAGTCAGAAGTAGCCTAGCAATACGAAGTGGGTGGTTGTCAAAATTATGGTCCCTTTTTGGGTCCCTAGTATAATGCGGCACCTATTATTTGGGGTACTCAGAAAGGGACCCTAATTTTGACAACAACCCAAGTGGCGAACGCAGCAATCCGTCTGACCTTTAGCTTCGGCTGCGGCCCGCCATGTGTCTGCTCAGATCAGAGCAGCTAACTCGAAAGTTGATTTCAGATAATTTGGCTTCGCCAGAGAGCTGGAAAGCTTAGAGCGGCCGGGAGCGGCACCGCCAGATCATGGTTTGTCTCGTCTGCATCTGTGAATGAGCGACCTGAGCGATGGGGAAGATCTTCACCCGGTCAATCCTGATCCGGCCGCAGCGTTGAGGCGTGACAAAAGACGACTTAGTTACAAGACTTCTGGAGGTGATGATGGCAGTCCGACAGGAGAGAATCAACTCGGACGAGGTCGATGATTGTGACTGCGGCAGGTACGTTTCAAGCATTCCTTCACCGTTGTTGCACGGATTTTCCATCGGTCTTGGGGCATGATGCTCAACTTGCTGTCGGACCCAGTGTGACTTGGTATCATGTGCCCAACTAGGCGAAAGCGAAAAAAGCGACCTCTAACCGCCAACCTAAACCATTTGGCCTTGAACCGAACCTTACAAACCCAAAGGCCCCAAACCCATTTAATTAAGTTTGTTCAAGCAGGTTGACCATGGTGTGCCGAGTTCCCCGCGATGAGAGCTTCTAGCATCCCACAGCCTGCAGAAGCACGCAAGATCACGTATTTATTGGCTGTAAACTCAACTTTTCAACTTTTGGGGTTCTTATAAGGGAGTCGACTCTGAAAGTCTCAACTTATATCCTTGGGTTCCGGGCCAGTGAGCGTGAAGCATGCAAGAACGCCTTGTTCAAGTGGTTGACGACCTCACGGTTTCCCAAAGCTTACCAGGACCTGAGCCCTGCGCAAGCGTCGCTGTAAGATTTTTAGTCGTTGAGTTGAGGTCAAGAGAGCTCGTTATTGCAATTACGGTGCAATACAACCAACCCTCGAACCCTACGTTTTCTAACGGGTCGGACCCCGTCATCGGCCCCTTTCACGCGTCTTCTCTTCACCGATGGATTGCAGTTTGAGCCGAGGAAGCCGATTTTACATTTAGCGGTGCCAGCCCCAAGCCCCAATGCATTTCTCGGGGGAAGGAGCTGGCAGCAGGGTCCTGGGCCCTGGCAATGACATGGCAGCGTCAGAAAGGCAACGGGCTTCGTTTGCCCAAGGGCCCTACCCTAAGGCTCCAAAGTAGTTCCTTTTGGGGTTCATATGTAGAATCCTATAAGGTAATCTCAAAAAGGAACTACTATGGAGCCTCTGGGTAGGTGCTGTTATGGGGGATACTTTCCCAAAATCATAATAGTAATCAGTAATCCTAATACGGCAGAGAGAGAGAGAGAGAGAGAAAGAATTCCGAATATGGAAACCCTACATTCTACTATACAGGTACTTTGGACCCTTTGGGTTTGCCTTACTCCGAACAGCCCAAAGGTTTTCATAGACTCTAACGAAGCAATATAGAGGCCTTAATGATTACGTACACTATGCTGGGGTTCCTTGCTACAACTTTAGTACTAGTATACTCCCAAACCCTATTCGAATTTATTAAGGCCGCTATAGTACTTGTCTGGGAGTTTCCGAAAAATCGGGTACCTCATTATGGGGTCCTTAGAATAAGGATCCTCTGTTTATATTGGAGTCCGCCATTTTTGGAAACTCCCATGTCGTTGGTTTTTGCTCGAAGTCGCGGGGTTTTGAGAGTCTCTTGAGTTTGTGGTTGCTTGTGATTCTGGATGTCGGGTCGGGAGGTTACGGCTACGAATTCCCAAACCTTACTTAGGGGGTTTAGGGTTATCGGGTTTAGAGTTCTTAACGCCCCCTCCCAAAGCTAACAGCTAAACATCAGAGTAAGGTTGGCAGGTTAGGTTTACGACTCAAGCTTGGTTTACATGAGTCCTTGATCGTGTTTCCAAGGGTAAAAGGAGGGACCCTTAATAACGTCCCTAGGTATATACCCTTAATATAGCTATTGTATACCCATTATATAGCCCATTATAGGGTAGGGGTCCCAATCAAGGGTCCCTCCTTTCCCCCTTTGAGTGTTACAGGACTCGTACAAACCCTATACAGAGTGCCAAGCCCACACAGCCCTCCCCTGTGCCCTATCGTTTTTTTTGTAGACCTCAAGCCCAAAACCCTGGACAATTGAATCCGCTGAAGTGATCTGCAGCTACATGATTCTCAAGGTCCTATTGGTCTGTAACTGCATTACTGAGTGTGAGCGCCGAAACCCTGGACCATTCCCGACCCCTAAACCTTAGACCACAGAACCCAGAGATTCCCCTCGACCCGAGAAGTGTCCATGTACCTGTGTAGTGTAGGAACCTGATTAAGAAACCCTGGGCCTGTAACCTCAAAATAGTAGGATTCGTATAAGGAACTCGAATAAGGTTTCTTGAAAAATCAGGTTCCTACATTAGTAAATGCAGAAGCTGCTTTGGTCTTCAAGCGGTTCCCGCCAAGCTTTAGATTACAAGTATACATTGGCTACCAATTTTGAAAACCCTAGAAAACCCTTGTAGTTGCATGACTGCTTCTCAGCTACCCTGTATAACTCACTATAACCCTGGCCTGCACATGTGTCTAACGACAATCCTTCTAAACTCCTGCAACATGGGTATAGAGCCCTTAGAGAACGCTTGACCATCGCCCAGACACCTGGCGGAAGGTGCTGGTGTTCCGCAAGAGGTAGCGCTGTCGGCGCTGCGCCGCGCGGCCACTGGAAAAGTGACGGCTCTGGAGGGAAAGGAGCCGTGTCCCTTGCTGTTGCGGCTTTCGCGACTAGTTTAGGCGCTCGTTGCTTAGTTTTGTTGACGGGTTTACAAGGGATTGATAGGATTGCTTCCGGGGTCTTGTCCAGGTTTGTGTAGCTGGAGGCAAAACAGAGGAAACTACCGTTGATGATATAAACCCCGCATTACCTTAAGGACCCTAAACTATGGGATTTATGGTATATTCCTTATTATAGGTGGTGCAGGATTTATATCATCAACCCGTATTGTGCCGGCTCTCCAGACTCCCAGGAGCTTGCAATGCTGTCTTCGGCGCTTTTATTGCAGGAGGACGAGGAGCTGTCCAAGAGGACAGGAGGGAACAAGAACTCAAGAGTTCTTGCAGGTTCATGGCTAGCTATAAGTGGGGTCAGAAGTACCCCAATATGGGTTATAAGTATAGTTTCCCTACTTATAACCCTACATACAATTAAACTATCCTTTTATACTTGTAAGACCCATAAACACCCCACCAAGCCTACGCGCCCTTTGGGTTTTGGGTTTCGGTTTTCAGGACTTCTTCGTCTCTCTCTCCTAGCTGGCAGTACTCAGTACAGGATTTGTGGTTTAAAGCCTAGGGTGGCTTTATGATGTCATTATGCCTCTAGCTTCAGGGAAGCATCGCATCTCGTGAGTAGGGCGCTGTTGCTAACGAGAAAGGTGTATCCCAAGCCCTAGCGAACCGCCAGTGTCTTACATCATGAACCATAAGCTCAAACCGTAGGAATGAAGAAGCTTGGCTGAGCAGCTCCATCCCATATTTTTTGTGGTACTATGTTAGGTTAGGTTAGGTTATTGGGCCGTCCCTAAACCCTAAACTTTTGGGATTCGGCTTGGGGAAGTCTAAACCCGAAACCTCGAAGCTCCATCGGCCACAACGGCCATCACATCCACACCCGGCCTTTGCCCTTGGCTCTTGCATGGTTAGGGGCTTAGGGTTAAGTAAAGGCTGCAAAGGCTTCGTCGTCATGATTGTCGCTATGATTGCTTTTTTGTTCATTGTCACTGCGCTTTGCGTTTTGCTGTTTCCGTGTCCTGGTAACTATTTCCTATATTACCGCATTACCAGTACTCCGCTGCCGGTCGACGAAGCAAAGGCATCCACTTCCTGTGGGATTTTTGGGTTCAGCACTCGGGATTTAGGGACAGGGTTTTGGGGTTGGGGCGTCTGGCAAAGGGCACTGGAGAATCTGGATGTGGCTCCAAATCCTCAACAGTGTTCCCCTGAGCCTAAGCCCTAAACCGTAGTAGCGACTAATGACCAGTGCTCCTTTATGCCAAATCTGTGTTTAGGGTCTAGGGTTTGAGAGTTTAGCGTGCTGTTCCAGGATTGCAGAACATGCCGAAGCGCTGCACAAAAGTGGCTCCCTTCCTCCAGATGCCATCGTGCAGATTCGATTCTCGGCTCGGTCGGTTTTCTCGTTTCAGTCTTCCCTAAACCCTGGCTGAACTGCCCGCGGCTCAGGTATTGAAACCCTAGAAAGGCGGGTGTTTCAAAGCGTTTCAGGAAATCGCCTTAGCCTTCGACAGTCTGCGGGCTTCAGGGACGCAAGCTTTACCTGGAACGAGCCCTCATTGGGCTCCAGCTCTCAGATCTTGTTACACCAACACTTGACGATGTTTCTGCATGGTGTCTTTGTGGCCGAAGATGACCGGCGATATGTGAAGTACAGTAGAGGTCTCCAGTAGAGGTCTCCCAACCGAGATGGAGACTGTGTAAACTATCAATTTCAACAGAGTGCAAGGTTTCGCGGGCCGGAGTTTCTTCAAGATATTGTGGCGGGTCTGTCTAGCCCGCTTGCTGCAGAGGGGGTGTAATATATAGGGGCCTAAACAATTACCAATACTATTTTGGGCTTCGTTGTAGTGTGGCCAGGCTCGGCTGTGGGCGCTCGCCCAACTTCAAAGACCATACTGGTCATCTTGTTTAGATGCTGAGGGGTTGCTTAGGTACTTCGGGAAGGTAGAAGAGGTGTTGGGGCGACACCCTTCGTCGAAAGAACCGAAGCTTTCAAACCCGTAAACATTGCAATTTCTATCCAAGCACATGTGTGGCAGAGGTGACCACCTTCATTCCCTCAGCCCGCCATGGCTGGAGGCAGCACAAAGTGGTCTCCCATGTTCGACTGCTCTACATCCTGTCTGCACTACGGATACGGATACCGGTGCCGATGAACACCCGAAACTTTCCTAAGCCTTATACTCTAGAAGCCCTACGGATCCCTAGCCAACTTCGCCTAAGCACTGGTTGCAAATGAAATCAGTGCGACATTCACGTGAAGTTATTTACATCGTTATGACTATGAACAACTTCTTGCTATTCTTAGTATTGCTATTCTTTTCCTCGCTAGGGCTTTCAGCTTCATTTACAAGGTTCTACGTGAAACCTGTGCACAAGACAAGTTGACCTTAGGCTATTAGATCTCATACTACGCTGGAAGTGGCTCAGAGTCGCCAGGGTTTTAAACCTACTGTTTGCTACAGGTCCCTGCTCATACATGCATACATAAATCCATACCTGTACAGGATCAGTACATATTCATAAATGTGTGCATGTGTGTGTGTGTGCTTACATATACAGTCATATATAGTCATATGTAAGTGCATATACATATATATGTATACATGTCACATAGTATACATACTTTGGCCGTGAAAGGGGTTGGTATACAATAGGTATTTCGAGGCCAACGTATATACTCTACACGTGCATGGACCCCTGAGGAACTATGAACCATCTTCTGCAGTTTCAGCCGGGATTCTAGGCGCTCGCCTTCAGTGATTGGTGTGCAATCTAGCTGCCGAAATAGTTGCCAATATTGTTCCATAGCGTTCCTGAGTATAAACATTCTACTGGATTCCAAAACTTTGCTCTAGTTATGAAGTTTGACGTCCCGGAACCTCTTAATGTAAAGTCTCTCAGCGTGAGTTCCCGACGCCTGACAGTCCTTCAGATTTGAATTTAAGCCGGAGTCTGCTAGGGCTGCTAGGGGCGGGGCTGGGAGCTTCTTCTGACGATCATGAGTTTCATCATCCTTGCTGTTACTGCTGCCTACGTTACTATATACAGTAGTGTACAGCTTCTTGAGTGTGCTTGTATAATCCTGAACATTCCATCAGGTTGCCATGCGCCGCCTTACAGACGAAGTCCTGGCGGCTCTGAAGACCGCTTCATGGTTAGATAATTGCGGGTAGGTTTAGGCGCATCCCAGTATATATATATATGTATATATATGTATATATATATATATATGTATATATATATATATATATAGCGTTCGAACGGGGTTTATAGGGCTTGGATTTGATTTAGAGGCGAACTTTAAACTTTTTGGCGTTATATATTAGCTCTATCTTAGAAAGTTTGAACTTCTTGGGGCCCGGTTGTTGAAGAAGAGAATAAATGGTAGTTCAGCGCGGTACGGACCCGAAAGGTTTCTCAGTCTTCAACAGCCCAGCACATGTGGAACATCAGACTGCCAAGCAACGATCCTATGGTGTAGGCATTGGGTAAGGCCCCCCACTCAGTAATAGTTGAACAATATTCATAATATAGATATATTAGGACCTAATAGTAGCCCTATTACAAACTCTTTCCGTAAGGGGCCAGTACCTAATGCAGGCAGTGTAGCGGTTTTCTCGATATATAGCATAGTTAGTGCTTTCCAATTACAGGCTCTGCGGTACTTGGATTTCTTTGCAACTGAGATCCCAGAAAGCCTCCGCGACCCGCCCTCTCGTCAAAAGCTCGACGAAGGATTGGAGGGCTTGTCATATGAATTTCGGGGCTTGGGGACTGGGGCCGAGTGCCTGACAGCGTGAAAGCACTTGTCGGTGAGTTTTGGACAGATGTGAATAGCTTTGACCCCGTGCTTGGGAAGTGATCGTCATTACAAACGAACTTCACAAACCATCTCCTTCCAACCTCTGTCAGATTCCACGATGCACTTAGGACCGTTTGCGTCGGTTCAAAGTCCGTACCACTTTGTGCGAAGACGAAGTCTACGATGCAGCCAAAACACACCTGGCAGACAGCCTCTACATGTCCTATATCATGTAAGTCCAGCAACCCACGTCGAGACGTTGGCACAAACCTTACATCCAAGACCTTACGAGCGCCCTCTGGATGGCAATGTCGTCAGGGTCATATTAATAAGCTCCCGCCACTTTACGGGGCGTGAGCTTTGCTGCCAAAACAGCTGCCCATATGTTTTTTTATCAAAACATGCTTACACAATTATGACATAACTTGATAAATTCAATGCTGCTCGATTGATTAGTTAATACGTCGCGGCTGCTTTGTGTGTGAAGACGTGTTACAGTTGATGATATAAATCCTGCATGACCTTAAGGACCCAAGACTATGGGAATTATGGTATATTCCTTATTATGGATAATGCAGGATTTATATCATCAACCGTAGCACCAGGGAACTCGCAAGCCCACTCAGCAGTCCCTTGCTTGCACACAGCTAACCTTTCGTCTTCGGCACCTGAAACTCCTAGATTTCCTCATTCAAAAGGTGAAGCCTTCTGAGCTGAATACCCTGAATTCAGACCTAAACCCTATGCCCAAACCTCAAGTTCTACACCCTGACACGTGGGATCCGTAGAGAGACAAGATCTTCAAACCCAGGGCTCCGACCTTTCTGTGCTGCATCTCACTTCGCTGGGTGCAGCGACGCTGACGCTGTGGCTTGGCGCGATCGAGGTAATTGTTGCAGTGGCTGTACAGCCACATGGGAGACAAGATCAGTCACCACATTATGAGATAAACGCTACTGATGATACATCTTCGACATCATTCATCAAATCAAGATCTGTCACCACGTTCTGAGATAACCGTCTCTCATGATACATCTTCGACATCATTCATCATGAGGCCTTGCTGCCATTCAACTATTGTAATTCCGAGTATTGGACTCAGCCTTGTCACAAACAGCAAGAGTATCGGGGGGTTTGGCATTCATGGTCATTGACGATTGAAAGCCAGTAACAATACTGTAACAGACATAGTCGCAGCATAGAAAATCGGAGTGCTAAGAACATCAGTAGGTACTTAAAGCCCCTAAACCCTAAACCCTAAAGCCTAAAGTGTAGACCGACTTTGGTTGGACCTTTGCAGAAAAGGCCCACTACACTTTAAAAAAAAAACAAAGACCCTTTGGGTGAAACTCTCAGGCCCTGAGCGCGCCCCAGGGCCCTAAACCATCGAAACGCTTCAGCGGTTCAACCCCTATACATCGGAACGCAAAGCCTTAAACCTAAACCCCGAAGCCCAACCCAGAGCCCCGGGAGGATCTAGAAAGTAGATCCCCTAATTTGGGGCCCTATGCTACCTAGGGTACTTTATAGGAACCCCCATTAAGGGATCTCCTTTTTGGATCCTCCTGGGGGTTTGGGAATGGAGTCTTCAGACCGGTTTAGGGTTTAGGGCTTATAGCACCCCTGCAGAGCTCTTTTTGGAACCTTTCCTTCTTTACGTCACACCTCTGTGCTATAGTCCCCTATACATGTAGCCCATAGAATCTACATAGAACCTGTAGCAACCGAGCGCAATAGTAGAACCCTATCAGACATCCCGATTGAACCTTTACAGGACCCCGGTAGAACTTGTGTAGGACCCCTTGGAGAACCCCCCAACTTGCACAAAAGCTTGAAACGAAACCCTAGCCCTTAAACCTCGATAGAGAACTTCTAGGGCCCCTCGTGAACCCGTCTTGAAAACCTTTTCCGACGGATCTCCGCTTGCTGAAAGCCCCCTAAACCCCAAAGGGTCCAAAGTGGCTCTATAGTAGAATGTAGGGTTTCCATATCAGGAATTATTATTTCGACTTGGGGAAGTATCCCCCATAACAGTACCTAGGACCCTTTGGGCAAGCAATCGTGAATCCTAAACCCTAAAACCTTGAACCTTCTGAAGGGACCTACTCCGCATTACTCCGCTTACTGGCGCTCTCAATGTGGAGCCCCTCTCCTGTACTCTGTGGCACTAACTTCTGTTTCTCTGTTTCTTCTGAGGGGTTGAGCGAAGCCTGTGTAGTCTGACTGTGCGCATCAAGAACCTCGTCTGGCAGTGTCCGAGTTGCGAGAGCGTAAAACCCTGAACCTTAAAACCTTAAACCCTAAAACCCTAAACCCTAACAACAGTACCTAGGACCCTTTGGGAACTCATAAACCCCAAGTCCGAGGTTGCTTGAGCTGGGCCTCGGCGCAGAAAGCGGCGCAGAGTCATCCGAGGAGGCGCCGCAACCCCCGCCTGAGTTGTGCTTTGGGATAATTTTTAATTTCCCTTATTTCCTTGTAAAGGGAACCTATTCATAAATAATTTTCAAAGGGTTTAAAGCGCAACCCAGCCGAAAGTCTACAAGGGTTTACAGTAAACTCCATAAAGTTGGAAACCAGATTAAGGCCAAATAGTGCTGGGATTCCTTCTACATTACTCTTAAGGATCGAGGCTATTGGGTTTCCAACTTTTTGGCTTCTAGTGTATGGTAGGTAGCCCAAAGGGTCCTAGGTACTGTTATGGGGGATACTTCCCCAAATCGTAGTAGTAATTCCTGACATGGAAACCCTACACTTTACTATAGAGGTACTTTGGACCCTTCTGGTAGCGTTTATGGCTTTATGGGGTTCTTTCGTAAAGTAGGGTTTATATTTGAGTTTCAGAAGGTTGAAGATAGCCGATCGATTTTGTAGCTGGGTGCTTTACGAAGCTCCTAACTACCAATCAGCCTAGCCCAAGCACCAAATTATTCAGGAAACCCTAAACCCTAAACCCTAAACCCTAAACCACAAGGCTTGGTGGGCCTTGAAGGTTCAGGGTTTAAGGTTGCGGTTACAGGGTTTAGGGTTTTAGGGTTTAGGGTTTTAGGGTTTAGGGTTTTAGGGTTTAGGGTTTAGGGGTTCAGGGTTTACGGTTGCGGTTGCAGTTTTGAGGTTTCGAGCCCGGGCTTAAGCCCACCTACAGCTCAGGGGCTGAATTCTTTCAGACTCCTGCGGATGCAAAGCCTACGTATGTAAGCAGGGATCCGCACCAGCCAGTTCAAGGAATATTTGTTCGGGAATTTTAGGGGTTTGGTATATCTACTTACAACCCCAATTAAGGTACTTATAACTCTACTTACTAAGTCCCATGATCCTCCAAGTAGACCCTAAACCCTAAACTAAACCCCATAGATCCCTTTAAGGAACCCTATAGATCCCGTTAAGGACCCCTATAGATCCTCCAAGTACAGTTTCCGTATACCTAGCAAGTTAGTTCCTCTGCCACGAGGCGAAGCGCCCAGGCCCTGGACCCTCAAACTACTGTTGATGGACAAAATCCTGCATGACCCTAAGGACTCTAAACTATGGGAACTGTGGTATATTCCTTTAATGGGTAATGCAGGATTTTGTCCATCAACAGTATCATTTGCGTGTACTCGTGTGTGTGCGTGTGCGCGTATGATTGCCTGTATGTCTGCATGTATACAAGTAAATCTAGATATTAGATACACACACATGTATATATATATATATATACACAGTTGTACATCGAGAGACAGAGAGAGACTCAAATGCCAGCATGTGTCACAGAACCCTTTTGCGATTTTAAATCAACCTCAGTAACAACCAGCAACTATTCGGGTAAAGCGAAAATGAACCCTGTACCCTAGATCCTGATAGATGCCTGGCGAGGTTGTCACGGGGAGGTCGGCTGGGCAGGTGTTGTGTTCGGCCGGTGTCTCAGCGATGGGTGTGTCCGAAAGAGAACGTTTGGGGGTATGGTTTAAGCCCGCCAAAATGTGAACCGGAAACTCTGAACCCTTTCTGGTTTAACTCTGTTCGGATGGGTTTAGGGTTGGGCCTCCCAGTCGACATCGTTTACTGCAGCTCAACCTTCAATTCTAAAGCGCGCTTGCCAAGTTAACTTCTTCTAGCATGTATATATATATATATATACTCACATACCGACCGGTTTAAGTCAGCGAAACGGTTGGCTCATTAGTGAACAGTAAACATACTGTGTATGGTTCCTGATATGCACTACTGCAGCATACTGTATTATTCCTTTTTCTTGCACATCAGCAAAGCGGTGGCAGCAGCGGAGAACTGGCGCGGCCAGACTTTCGCTGCACTTTTGTCTGAATCTTTCGTTGTCGTGGTAATGGCGTGAAGCCAACCTTACCCTAACCTTAGCCCCATGGTAGTTCCTTTGATTTTGGGGGTTCGTATGTAATTAGAGTCCTATAAGGTGATCCCAGAAAGGAACTACTAATTATGGGGCCTATGGGGAAACCCTACACTGAGAGTCCTCGCCCTCGTGGTGGCGAATATAATCCAGCCCCAGGGTTGATTCGTTCTGTTGAAGGCATATGGGGGTTTAGTAGGGATTAGGGTTCCCATATTATGTTTCGTATTAAGGAATCCCTGCCCCAAGAATGTTAAACGCCCCTTTTGGTAATTATACCCTAGGGCCCTAAGGGTCCAAGTGACAGTACAGTATAATATATACTTTCGGAGCCCAACTATCTACGATTTGCCTTAACCGTAAACCCAAACTTCTACTATCACAAGAGCCAACTCTATGTGTATATATATATATATATGTGGGCACTTAGACTCTTAGTGATGAACGAAGTCTCCCCTGCGCAGCTGCTTGGAAGCTCGCTGCAGTCATCAATGAAGCTCAGCCCGAAGCAAACCAACAGAAGAAGCCCTGAGACTCACGGGTGCTCTCGTCGATGTTATCGTCAGAAAGTATGGTCGGTATATATAGACATGATAGTCTCTTCTAAGACTATCCCAGTAGCAGTCCTGACATCGATCAGCTGATTCTTCTGAAAGTTCTGTAAACCACCGGTATACATGCAACATCACCAGCGAAAAGTCGTGGCAAGACCAGCATTGGACGGCTGCAACGCTTGCGATCTCATGCAGCTCTGTAGTGCTGAGGCTCTAAAACCTGAACCCCTCAAGCACACACCCAAAATATTCTGAGCCACCACGCTGAATCCCTGCACAAGCTGAACCGCCAAAGCCGACCTTCCTGCTGTGAACAGTCCATCCTGGTCGGAGAGCGAGTGTCAATGTCACCACGAAGTTCACAGACATGACAAAGGGTGTACTATAGGGGCCTACATAAATTCCTGTACCGTTGTGGGGGTTCCTTATTCTGATTATAGTATCTTGGCCACCCAAACCCACTGAAATTATTCAGGCCCCTACAGTAGCTGGCCGCTATCAGCTTTGACACCTTAATGTGCCCGAATGTGGCAAGCCTCGCGTTTTATGCCATTGCCCAAGATCCCACCTTCCAACAAACAGCCTTCTGTTTAAGTCCGAGCACCTCTCAGGTCAGCTACGACATTCGCATCCCTGGGGGGCACGATGTATACGAGCCCGGCCAAGTGCATGTAAGCGGCAGTCGTCCGGATCCCGACGGACGGGGCTTGCAGTTGGGGTTTAGGAGTGAGGGGTTCAGGGTTTTAGGGTTTAGGGGGCCAGTGAGCTAACTCATCGCCCTGGTTGGGGATTTAAGGATTAGGGCATTAGGGTCCTAGGGTTTAGGGTTTTCAAGGCTGAGTTGGTTGTGGGTGTAGCTGATCTACAAGATACAGCAAGTATCACTGCTATTCCCCACACGTCCCCAGTATACTTCAATGCACCCCAAACAAACCGTACATATTCCGGCTCCTATATTCGCACCCCCGTATATACTATTGACTGTAATGCTTGTAGTGGTTTGCAAATGCTTAGGGTTTAGGGTTTAGGGAACCGGGCTGCTGGACAACGAGGCCTGCTGCAAAAAAGTGTTTTTTGTTCACAATTTTTTTGAGGCCCCTGCAACCACCGGCGCGAAGAAACCGCTTTTGAGTGTTAGAGATCCTATAGTCTACATTAGCAGTCAAGTGCTGCTCTAGGTTTTCGGCAAGACCCGAAGTTCTTGAAGCGGCGTCGCTTGTGTGTGTGTGTGTATATATATATATATATGTATGTTGGTTTTAAATTGTTTTTGGTTCATTTATTTATGCATACATACATACATATATATATATATGTGCACATACATGCATACATACTTACATATGTGGCAAGGTCGTGGAGTTCAGCAAAACTACGAGGCCCCATAGTAGCTGCTTCTTGGGACAACCAAATAGAATTCTAGAAATGAACCCCCAAAAGGAACTACCCCTAAACCACTGACCTGTGCAAACCTGCGAAACCCCAGGTGTTCACCCACCCCCGCCCTTCGCACTCTCGATCGTGTCCTGGCTGGAAACTCTGAGCTCCCGCATTCCCCAAGCTCTAAACTCCGAACCTCCGAAAAAAGTAGACAATTCCGAGATATTCAAAACCCCTGGCGGCGAAAGTCTGAAACCCTAGACCCCTCAACTCCAGTACTCCCCGTTGCCCCTAAACTTCGAAACTCTTGTGGCTTGCGATTCGGACGCTACAAGAACCCTAAACTCACTCTGATTATAAAATTGATAGGCCCTACATTGGCGAGGACTGGGCTTGCTCCGGGCGGTGTCACTGCGCTTCCCTCGTGATCGCGATGCGGAGTATCTTGCTTTGCTTCTCGGTCTGCTGCAAACCATGCTGATCAGGGTTCAACGAGGTCCTTGAAAGGATTCCTTTACAGGGTTCATATGATTATGAAAGTTTAGGGTTTAGGAGAGTGTATGTATTATACAAGCTAGGTTAGGTAGTTCGATTTTCGGATGTCGTTTTGTATCCTTTCTCACCGCTTACCGAGCTGGAGCCATCAGTTTGGCCATTGGGGCGGGTGGTGATATCTTGAAGCCTCGAACCCCATGCCTGAATCCACCTCACAATGAAAGTAGGGGCCCTAATAATTACCTAGATTATTTTGGTGGGTTCCTTCTTATAGTTATATTGTAATATATCCCAAAACCTTATTCTAATGATTAAGGCCCCCTATATGATTATGGCCCCCTGGGTTGAAACAAGGCAGTTGCTCTTGACTTGATTGTCACGGGGCTCGGTCTCAGGCTGGGTCGCTAGTCAGGGCTTTAAGTTTGTATTCGATCTTCTCGTATGACGATAAGCGCTCGAGAGGTTTCTATAGTATGGCGATGTGCCCTAGAGAGGTTTCTTAAGAGCCGCGGTTTCGCTGCGAAGTTCTGTCAAATTTGTCCGCATGTTGGCTGCGCGTGGGTGGTTGTCAAGATTATGGTCCCTTCTTGGGCCTCTAATGTAATAATGTATTTATCATTTCAGGTACCCCAAAATCAAAAGGGACTTTAATATGGTACCCACATGTATAAGAAGAAAACGCCATAATGCACAGGAAAGTCATTGGAACGTTGCTGTCCTGGGAACATGTCGGTCGTAACCGCCAGTAAAACAGCCCCAAGCTTTGGCTCGTCACTCACTCACCTACAACACTTGGAAGACTGGTGTTCAGGTTTTAAGTTACTTGCTTTTTGGTCTGTTGCAAACCCGGACCCGAAACATAAGGACCCCTAGGTATATACCCTTAATATAGCTATTATATACCCAGTATATAGCCCCATTATGGGGTAGGGGTCCCCATTAAGGGTCCCTCCTTTTCCCCTTTGAAAAACCTGCCAAGGACTTCCGTCGTTGCTGCGCTACGGCGTTCTGCGGCTGCCGCTGCATCCGAAGCTGAAGGAACTGTGAGGCGGCCTCTTCCGGCGAGGATAATATAAGGGCTTACAGAATTCCCAATACTGTTGTGGGGGTTCCTTATTATGATTACAGTATCATATGCCCCAAAACCCTATTCGAATTATTGAGGCCCCTATGTTGTGGGACATGCATGGGTTTAGGCTGCCGAATACCCGTACGCAAACAAAAAAGGAAAGGAGTGGAGAAGACGACCGAGTCCTCCATCTATCCGCCTGCTTTGTCGTTTATACTTACTAATTGCCTGCCTTCCTTCCAGAACGCATGCTCACATGCCCGTTTGCTTGCATAGAAGTTCGAGTCCGTGAGCACGTCGAACACTGTGAGACCGTAAATCCCAAGCCCTATGAGTGTGTATTACCTTAAGGGTCCATGTACCCATATAGAGATACATGAGCCCCAAAGTACCTATATAGGGACTACATTAAGGCCAATGTATATACTATATGAGTACATGGACCCTTACGGTTACATACCGTTTTTGCAGAGTGTTCATGCAGCTTCGAGGTTCGGCACCATGGTTTTAGTTGGCGTGCTCGGTACAAACATATTCTGAGTTGTGCTTTGGGATAACTTTTGCTAACTGCTGGCATGTACTTACGACTTACATCTCGGAATACACTATCACTAGCCTTACCCGAAACACCCGGGCTCCAAATCCCAGTTTGCGGTTTAGGAATACCGGAGTATATAGGGTAATACGAAGCTAGCCCTGTTGTGACTTGCTCACTTTAGTCTCCGCAGAGCTGCCACAGGTGTGCCAGGTGGGTGACAAAAAAATCGAAAAAGGAGATTCCCATTCTCCACGCGACTGGAAGTGCGAAGACTTAAGCCACAGCACTCTAAAGCCTCAATACTCATACATTCCTTCAGGGTTCAGGGTTTAGGCTTGGATTAAATGATTAAGGTTTAAGGTTTGGAGTTTAGGGTAACCAAATCTCCAGAACTATTAAAAGAAGCCTGAATGCCCGCTTAAAACAGAGCATAACCCTCCACTTACATCCCCAAATCCCAGAGTCCAAGCCGGCGGAGGCTGCATGCATCCCAAGCTCCCTGTCTAAGCTGCCTTGGCGTGTTGGCTCCTTGGCTCGCGTTCGAGTTTTGCAAGCTCCGTTGGAATCTCGCGTTCGGCACTTTCGGGTTTGGGGTTTCAGGTTTGCTGGTAAATCTAGTGTCCTAAACTCTAAACCCTAAACCCCCAAACCTTAAACCCCTCAACCTACTAGGGTCTAGGATTTCGGGCCGCTGCACGTTTTAAGCCCTTTGTGGAGCCCTGCACTCCGACAGCCCCCACATCCAAACTGCCGAGGTCAGGTGTCCGGAACTCGAGTCTCAGGGCTTAGGGTTTAGGGTTTAGGGCTTAGGGTCTAGGGCTTTGTGTTTAGGGCTTAGGGTTTAGCGTTTAGTTTAAGCTTAAACCCGAAACTTTTGGGGGGGTGCACATACTCGGAACCTCGACCTGCTTGCCAGCATTTCCGATAATTCAGCCTTACGGTGCTCCCAGTCCCAGTGGCCGACGTGCCCATCCCTAAACCCTTAACCCTAAACCAAAACAAGGTACCCCTAATTGAGGTGAGCCAAGGAAGGGCTGCGACCCCAGGTAGAGAGGTTCTATGCCGGTGACTTGGAGACTCTTATTACTTCTTATTGCCGAAAGGGTTTAGGAATAACCTTAGCGGCTTAGCGGATTGGATCATCCCCACCTTCCCCAAGGACTGTACTTGGAGGACCATGGGACTTGGTAAGTAGGGTTATAGGTACCAAAAATTGGGGGTTATAAGTAGATATAAGTATAGTTACCTTATATTATCACCCTACTTACTAAGTCCCATGATCCTCTAAGTAGGCACCTAGAGCCCCCAAGCGGCATTAGACGATGAGCGGCTGAGGTGCAGTTTCGGGAGGCTTTTCCGAAGCTGGAGCTGAAATTGAGTTTCGACGACCTGCGAAGAAGTCCCGCAGCCGCCAAAACTGAAACCGGAGTCTGCCTCAGGGTCTTCAGGTTTAGGGTTTAGGGTTTATTTTGTAGGGTTTAGGATTTAGGGTTTAGGGTTTAGGGTTTGGCTTATACAACGATAATAGGGTTGGTTACTATTTCTTAGCGCCTTTTAGAGCCTCAATAGTCCCTAAACCCTAAGTTGCTAGTTCTTCAGACCCTTATCTTAGCGCCCTGGGTTTAGCTTCGGGCTCCTTCCTTTCCTCGGCAAGAAGTGTGCTTTCTCTCGTGCCTAGGTTTTCTATTCTCAAGATGTGTAGGCTTTAGGAATTGGGGTTCCGGTTTAGGGCTTTGGATCTTGTAGTTTTGGGGTTTGGGCTTGCTGCCTTTAGATTGAGGGATTTAGGTGTGGTACAGATGTATGTTTCAATTCTTCGCGAATGCATTGAGCCTGTCCCTGACCTGCCGTTTTAGTTTCCAAGTTCACATGTATGTAACGCTAGGCAAGGGTCCCTTTGATATGAAAGTCCTTAGAAACTAGGATGCCCAGTAGTACCCTTATTCCTTTTTTGTAGTCCTAGGTTCCTTATAAAGTTACCCAATACCATAAAGAGAGGCCTTTTTGTTCTTGGGTTACTGGGTATCCCAGGAAGCCCTGTCGCCTCCACTCCCATGGTCAGAGGCTCTGAAGACCAAGGTATCCGAATATCCGAAGCACTTTAGAACGCCCTAAGCCCTTGTTTATATGCGTCCGCGTTCTGCGTTCTCGACCCCCCCCCCCCCCCCCCCCCCCCCCCCCCCCCCCCCCCCCCCCCCCCCCCCCCCCCCCCCCCCCAATGGTATCCCCCCCCCCCGAGCCCGGCGACCACACAACAAGAACAAGAACAAGAACAAGAACAAGAAGAAGAACAGCAGCAACAACAAAGCAGCAGCAACCACGCGGAGGAACCAGAGGAACCACAGGGGGGGGGAGGGGGGAGACAGGAACCAGAAGAACCACAAAAGGGAGGGGGAAAACCAAGAGGAACCACAGGGGGGGGGGGGAACCACAGGAACCACAGGGGGGGGGTGAAACCATAAACCTCTAAAGGGGTAGCTCTAACAGGTACCTACAGCAATGGCTGCATGCTCATACATATACATTCCGCTGCCCATTGGCTCACAGTGGTTTTACCATATTGAGCCAAGACAAGCTCTCCTTGCGTAGCAAGACAAAACAACTACTGTCCGTGTGCAGGGCGCTGCCCTTTGATCCTTAGGGAATAACTGGTCATACACCTCCTCACAAGGAGTATCCCTTGGGGGTGTATCGACACAGTTTTCTGGTAGCGGAGCCCGGAAAGGGCCGCCCGCCTCCTAAAGTCCGCTACAGCGGTCGGCCTCGCCGAACGCTTAACCAAGCGGATAAGAGGCAGCACAATGTCGAGCTCGCATAGCGAAGCCGACGGCATTTCCCAATCCTCCGGGGGATATGAGAACGAAGAGACCTCCCAAGGTCCAGCCACTTATGTCGCACAGTCATTTGCAACATCTGACCGCATGCTTGCATCATTAGGCATAACGCCCAAGATCGCGCCTGCCTATGATGGCACCACTTTGTGGTTTGAGTATGAACAGTTGATTGACGACTGGTGCGACATAACAACGCTGGATGACACCAAAAGAGGTCCGTCTCTCAAGACGAGGCTCTCCGGATTGGCCGCAGTACAAAAAGAATCACTTAACCGAGAAAGGCTTGCAGCCCCAGATGGAGTAGATTACTTCAAGAAGAAGATGCGTCCATTTTTCGTGAAAGTAGAACAGTACGTTTTCCTGTGGCGTTTCCTCGGCCTATTCAAGGCATGGAAGGGCAACCAAGACTTTGTGACTTGGATTGCTAAGTTTGACATCGTGCTACAGCGCGTGAAAAACTCATGGATGGATCTCTTACCAGAGATAGCTCTGGAAGATGCCCATCCAGATTTCATGCAAGCTGTGCAGGCAGACCGAACCTTCCTGGGCCTACAGGAAGCAGCCGAGAGAGACACATACGCCGCACGCTATTTCGAAACATGGAACAAGGAACGCCTTGACAATCATCGAAGATCGTTTCCTCTGAATGATAATCTCCTAGCTCTTCTCTTCCTAGTGCAGTCCGACCTAAATGAGATGCAACGTGAGAGGTTGGTAACAGCATTGACCAACCGAGGTCACCGAATTGAGACCTATACGTACCCTGTGGTACGGCAGACCATGTTCGATCAGTTCTCAACGACCAGAACTGGTCTGCAGGATCCCAACATTCGGCACTCTTCTCACAAGAAGGACCGCCATGGAAGTAGAGACCAACGCCGCAAACGCGGAGGTCGAAACTTCCTCATCCTCGATCAGGGTGAATACGACGGAGTCGATGGATTCTGGCTCCAAGACGAAGACACCATTGAGGAAGGCTTTCTTGCCGCCGAGGATGAAGAAGCTGTCTTCTGGACAGTTGACGACCATGAAGCCTTCGTTGCAAGGAGATTCAAAAAGGGAAGAAGACCAAGAATGCGTCCCGGATCACCGGGAAGAGCAAAGGGTGGCAATCGAAAAGGACGTGGCCGTTTTAGGTCATACCGCGGAAAAGGGAGAGCCAACCAGGCAGAACATGATCCAACTGATTCCAGCTATTTCGGTAAAGGTAAAGGAAAGGAAAAAGGAAAGGGTGGAAAAGGCAAAGGAAAAGGAAAGGACAAAGGAGATAAAGGAAGCTCCTTCAAGGGCTCAAAAGCAAAAGGCAAAGGTAAGGATACAGCTAAGTCTGCCTCCTTACAAGGAGACCAAACTGGATCTCCACAGGCCTATGACAGTTCCACCGCACCGAGCTGGGATTCATGGTATGAGGACAGTTATTATACTGACTCCAGTTGGAATTATGCCGCTTATGACGATCAAACGTCTTATACATACTATGCATCACAAGCCTCACGAAGAAAGACACGGAGAAGGAAGAGAAGAAATCAAGCAGGATCATCAGGTAGAGGCACAGATCCGAGCGCGCACCAAGAACCCGTGTACAACTCATCAGTGAGTTACGTGCCCCAGGTCTTTGAACCATCCGAGGGGCACGGTGTTGAAACTGCAACAGCGGTGTTTCCGTTGCAGCACACCGTCCTATCTGCTCTCACAGAGCGGATCAATCTTGATAAGAGCCCTACCTTTGTCATACTTGACTCTGGTTGTACTAGGGCTATGGGTCCCCGCTATGCGGTGAACAGGCTTATCAAGGCCGTGAAGCAACGTGCCCCAGGCATGATTGATTTCACTTTCTCACCTTCGAACACGAAGTTCTCTTTCGCAGATAGTGAAACAGCTCTTATCAAGGAGCGTGTAACTCTATGGTTCAACACAACTCCAAGAAGAGATACAACCATAGAAGTTTTGGATCAGGGGAGAGTCCCCATTTTGTTTTCCATCGAACAGATGAGGAATTTAAGAATGACCCTCGAGTGTATTCCCACAGCTGACCTAGCAACGTGTGAAGCTTTCGGTTTGTATAAAACCCCTCTTCCGATTAGTACCAATAACCATTTGGTATTGTACCTTCTAGGCTTCACTTCCACCAGGAAGTATCTCCCTAAGTCAGGTACGTCGTTCAGTGCGACGGAGACTGCTCTAGGAGCCAAGAAGCCTTATACTAGGATCCCGGAAGGTCGCTGTCCAGCCTGTGCCGGACAGAAAAGGGCTCACACGTACCTCAAGGGTTGCGACAAAGCACCTGAGGGAGCAGCTGATCCACCACCGAAGAGGATTTCAGGTAAAAAGAAGCCTCTTCCATCTGAGCCGGCAGAATCATCTGCCAAGAAACTTGATCCACCAGAACCATCTGGTGATGCTCCTGAGCCTTCCGGACCATCGGAACCATCATCAGGCTCTAGGGACAAACCTGCAGAATCCTCTGCACCACATGAACCTCCAGAAGAAGAAAGACTTGATGTCCCACCTGCGAAGATAAAGACTCCAAAGGGTCTTAAAAACCTTCTGAAGAAATCCCGCAAATATGCGGTTAAACCTCCTGTTGAAGAGAAGTCTAAGGTTCCAGGAGCTGATGACGGGACGGAGGTAAGACCACTTGAGTCAAGAGAATACCCGGCTCCTGGTACAGACTCACCTACAGGTGAAGAGATTGTCGCAGAACCTTCGCCATCTCTTCCCATTGCTCTTCGCAGGATTCATGAGAAGCTTAAGGACCCTGTAGAACTCTATAAGCTTCACCTTAAGCACCGTCATATGAGTACGGATGAGTTCAAGCGACGCACAAAAGCCTTACAGATCCCAAAGGAGATATACGAGCTATATGACCAACTGGTCAAAAAGTGTTCAGCCTGCCAGGAACATGTGAGAGCTCCTTCGAGAGCGAAGATTTCTGGTTTAAGATCAGAGACTTTCGGTGATCTCACCTTCGTAGATCACGGTGAGCTTCCACTTCCCGGCAAGGATAGTCGCTTAGTATTTCTTATTCTCTATGATGGAGCAACAAACTTGTTGACTGCCGAAGTAGTCCAGGATAAAGAAGAACATACTACAATGTCGATTATGAATGACTAATTTGAGAAATTTCAGATCAACCCAAAGGTTGTAGTTGGAGATCAAGCATTCATGACTCCAAAAATGGAGGCTTATTACAATCGGCAGAATATCAAGCCTGTGGCAACAGGACCTGGAACACCATGGC